CTTATAGATGGATGATCTAATTCTTTGAGCGTTGGGTATCCTAAACTGCACGTCACATTTATCACCACATTTCTGATAACTGCTTGGCTCGATTCAAATAAAGATTCAAAAGGTGCAGCGACCCGTCACCCTGTAGCTCTCTATAAAATAAACACCTTCTACAAGTGAACTCAACACGACTCTAGTCCTCTCTACAACAGGACTTCCTGTCCAGCTCCGACCTGGACTCAGGTGTGTGGTTCAGCTCAGACAGCGGGTTGGATCAGTACTTTAGCAGAGAGGTCACAGTTATAGATGAAGTCTAATGAAGATACTTCACCGATGACGTAATGCTCGAAGTTAAACTCTCAGCTCGTATTAGTCAAAACAAGGTGAACCAGTAGGCGCGCTCGCACCTTGACGGCGGTGATGAGGCGGACGTAGTCTCCCAGTAGCTCGGAGAAGAGGTGGAAGTCCGCGTTGGCCTGGTCCTGGTGCAGCTGGTCGATCTTCTCCTCCACCTCGGCGAGCTGGGACAGAGCGCGGGACAGAGCCGTGTGGTCCTCGCTGTTCCCCAACATGGCCGCCGACTTGGCGAACTGCGCCGTGTTCACCGACAGCTCTGCAGAGGAGGCGAGGCGACAAGTGGAAGAGTGTATCATTAATATAATATTTACAGTTCAGTCTGAACACCTTCAAAGTGAGACAGTGCAAGCTGAAAGTGCCCAACCATCTTTCTTGACCTTTGACCTGGATCGGCGCCGTCCGTCTGATATCCAATACGTTAATTACATCAATATCGGACATGATACCGATATAAGATTGGATCGGCCCCATTTCTAACTTTCAGTCAACCTAACGACAGGCTGAGATCTGGAGCTGAGGTCAAGCTTCTTGACAAACTGTTGCACCGCGCCCACCTGTCAATCAAGTCAACTATGTGTCTTATTGTAATTAACGCCTATCCTTCATCAAACAGATGAGTCATTAAAATAGTAACCACCCATGTGTGCCGATCGAGACATGAGCTAATCAGACCTGTTTGTTTTTTTGAACCAGGCTGTAAACATGTTCATCTCTGCTGTAAAAACAGGCTTTTTAGAATGGTTGTGTATGTGACTTCCTGTTCTTCTGCAGCCAGCCTCTAGTGGACACTTGAGGAACTGCAGGATTTTACACTTCAGCATCGGTTTCATCCTCAGGAGGTTGCCGCTTATTTTATACACGACTGACTATTTACAGTAAAGCTTAAACAAGCTCAAGCACCTCCTGCAGTGCTGAAAACTACCACTAGGGGTGCTAACATCACCATTAACAAATAAAAGCACTAAACAAACGGTGTTTTCTACGCACGTAGTTTTGTTCAAGCAGAATAATTCTCGTACTCTCGTAGTCTCGTACCTTTCCTGTGACAGACCAGAGACTCCACGCTCATGTGAAGCTTCCTCAGCTGAACGTCCAGATTCTCGAAATGCTGCTGCTTCTCCTCGAACCACTGACACACACACACACACACACACACACACACACACACACACACACACACACACACACACACACACACACACACACACACACACACACACACACACACACACACACACACACACACACACACACACACACACACACACACACAGAACACAGAACACAGAACACAGAACACAGAATTCAGTCAGAACAGGATGATTCTGCCTTTTTTATATCCATTATCCTCCCATATTTTATCTCTTCTTCTTCTTCCTTCCAACCGCTTCATTATTTCCTCGTTTTGTTTCCTCCTTCAAAACATTTATTTATTTCCTGCATTCCCTCCTTGTTTCCTTTTGTCCTCCCCTCACTTCTCTTTACTTTCTCTCCTTTCCTCCTCCTCTCTATGTCCTTATTTCATCTATCTCTCTCTTACCTCCCTTCAGCTTTTCCTTCTTTCCTCCTTCCTGAGCGAGTTTCTGTTTTCTATCTTCTTTCTCTCTCGTTTAACCTTTTTCCTTTTCTTCCTCGCTACTCAATCCCTAATGAACCCCCCTTTTTCCTCCTCTCTTCTTTCCTTCCCTTTTTCCTCCCTTCCCTCGTTCACTCACAGCGTCCGACTCGTTCATCTTGATGGTCATCTTGTTGACGGCGTCAGCCGCCTTGTTGACCATCCGGAGGAGTCCGGCGCTGCTCAGAGCCTGAGTGCTGACGGCCCGCGGTAACTACACAACAAACAAACAAACAAACAAACAAACAAACAAACAAGCCGTGTAAGCGATGACACTGATGAAGACACAAAACAAGATACATTCAGTTATTCTTATATTTTATGATGTTTTTATGATGAATCTCCTTTTGTCTGATCTGCTCCTGATTTCATGTCATTTGAGTGAGGTCGTACTCAAACCGAGGCCACCAGTGTTAAAGGACTTTAGCATCTGCATATGGGGGCGCACGCTCCAACCACTAGGCCCCCGGCGCCCCCCCGTCTAATTTTTTCTAAATTATTTTTCTTTTCTGTTTTTTCTGCTCTGCGTTTCCTTCCATCCCTCCTCGCCTAAACGCCGCACCCCGCTGTCGCTCTTTTCTCTCCTCCTCTCCGATTGTAATGTCTCCCACGTTTCAGCTCCACCCGCTTTGAATGAAACCGCTTAACGTGCAGAAACCACCTCCGCTCTTCACGCCGTCACTCTGAACACCGCCGGACGTCCGTCTGCAAACAGCCTCATTTTTCTTCATTTTGGAAAAGTTTACTTTTTTTATCAGACGTTGGTGGTTTTCCTGTGACGCTGGAGCTGATTTACCCCCCTCCCCCCCCTCCTCTAAATCTCATTTAACAGGAGCGGCAGCAGCAAGGGGACGGCTCGGGTCCCCGGGGCCCTCGCTAAAGCAGCGACCGGAGTAAATGAGTGGAGGCGGGGGGTTAAAATAGCTTTCAATTCCTGGTGCGCCCCCCCTCCCCCCTCCCCCTTCTCTTCTTTCTCTGGTTGTGTTTCATTAAGCGGTCCAGACCGGCCGACACGCTCGGTCAAGCGTCCGAGTGATTCATCTGTTAAATCTGTGACACCAAGCCATTTATTCTGGACCCAAAGACCGCCGGCTCCTTCCCAACACAATCCCACCAATGGTTAGCTTAGAGATGAAGCGGAGGAGGACCAACAAGATGAAATGTTACAGAGGATTTAGTCCGAGTGGATAAATAAAGCGAGGAAACAGGAAACGCCGCGGACCCTTAAACCCTGAAGCAGTTTTTAGAGGCTCGGCTGCAGGAGGTTTTGATTCGCTGGTTTGACCTTGTCGGGACGTTTTGCTGCTCTTCAGAATAAAGAAATAAAGACTCGGAAAAGTCAGACAGAGTTTTTTTTCCTTCCTGGTTTGGAGGTCGGTTTGTTGTTTTTGCCTCGTTGAAAGCAGCGCCAAAGACTTTCTACAGACACATGCGCTCCTGATCATTTCTAAAAATAAACGTTTGAGCCGTTTCAAATCGTCCTGAGTTGATATTCAAACGTCTCTCACAGAGGGAACGTTTCCCTGGCGCCCTTTGAAGTCAACTTGTCGGTTGCACGTACGTTTCTGTTCACACCTCGAAGGTTTTATCTGAATAACTTCTTACTGAGCCTCAGACACGATCTATAACTTTAGGGCTTTTAACCACAAGAGCAATCTGAGTACAACTCAAACTAAAGAGCGGAAAAAAGAACAAAGTGACCCTGCACGACCAATCACAGGGCTTGCTGTAAGCCTGACTAAAAACAGCAGCAACATGTTGTGTTAAAGAGCGTTTTAAAAGCGTCCTCAGACTGTGGTGCCCTCAGGTGGTCAGGGAGAGTATTACACAGACGGGGAGCATAGTTCCTTTTGAGGACGTGCACGTCAGGCTGCGTACGTTGGTGTCTGCGACGTTACAGGGATACACATCCCTATGACACGGTTCAGACACAGAAATCTAAATCAGGCTGAAGTGTGAACACACTTTTTGTTTGATTCTTTAAAGATGGAGTCAGCAGCTTTTTCCTTCAAAATAAAACACAGACTTCTCCTAAAGTAAAGCTGCTCCATCGTCCCTTCTGGGCCTCCGTACATGTGTGGTGGTGACTGTGTCTGCAGAGACTCTGTCCTCTGACTGGATTTTACTGATCTGGTTTGTTCTGGTTGACTTGGGACGTTATATATAATCAGAGTGAGGAGAAACACCAAGCGGATAAAGCTCGTTCTAAAACGAGGGTGAACCTTGTGTTGGCTTTTACCCGTGGACGTGGAGTTGATCTGCTTCCTGTTGGACAGGCAGGTGACAAACACCGGTGGTTAGCTTGTGCTAGCTTGTGCTAGCATTCAGTCTAGCTACAAGCAGTAAACGTACACACTACGTCCTGCAGGGGGCGTGAGCTTCTGGGGGGCGATGAGCCCAGGAGGAGGGGCCACGTTTGAATGTTGTGTTTACAAACATTTCTACTGACTCCACCTTTAACGTGCCTGTACCTGCAGATCTACACCACTAATGAAGGCTGGTACATTCAGGAGCCTGACTCAGATTTTGAGTTCCAGTGTCCATGTAACATCAGCGATGAAGATGAGGTTCCTTGTTTTGAGTGAAATGTAAATGTGAGGCTGCTGCTGAAACTGAATCAGCTCTGTAGTGAAGATTCAGGAGTGACAGTCTGTCTTTGTGTTCTTCCTGTAAATCTTTCCGTTTACCTCTGAGCTCTCCAGGAACAGCAGCACGTCGGGATCCTTCAGCAGGATGGGATGTTTCACTGTCCTCATCAGATATCTGCAACAGGAACAATAACTCTGATTATCATGACGACAAACGGCCGACACTCGAGGAGCTTTGAAGAGTCTAAAAATAACTTCAAGCTTCAGCTAACGTCAGAGGACAATCATCACCGACAATAAAAGCTTTGTTCTTCACCAACTGACTGAATTTATGATCTCACACTGATGGTCTTTGATTTGTTCTTCTAAGTATATCTTATCCTTACAATATAATAAATTACTGGTTGGTAGTGTTCTAGTAGCCAAGCTGCTGGGATTAAACCTCTCTGTGCTTCCTGTTGCAGAGCAGTAAAGTTATATGACGGCTTGAACTGGCATAGCGCTGTGTAACCAGGCATGTGGACGTTAACCTGCAAGGAGGACTGAAGCCTGCTGTTGTTAGCCATGCTAACGTTACAGACGTATGCAAACCTAAACGGCCAGATTCAACCCATAATGCATTGCTTTTTGGTTCACTTCCTTTGTTTGAAACCTTTGATAGAAGGTTCTTACTTTATTTCAAAATAAAAGCACGGTTGAATTCAAACAGCAAGCAAAGTACTCCCAGCTTAAGAAAGTACAAACATTCAAAATAAAAGCCCAACAATTGTATTTTTTAAATGCAGAATAATGGAATTTCAAACATACGTTAAAAAATGTGATTAATATCGATTAATGATTGTAATTAAGCGTTTAATCACATGCTCAAAATTCCATTATTTTGCATTACAGAGCAGTTTTTGTTGGGCTTTTATTTTGAATTTTGGAATACATCGCAATACACACATTAATGCTGACAGTCTAAGAACTGACATTGGCTCTGAATGCAAAGGAGGGTAACATCAGTCTGCAGGTTACGTCGTTAACCCCTTCATGAATAAACAATAATAATAATTCAAAGTGATCCAGATGAAAAAAATATTTATGTCTAAGCTACTTTTACTCTGAAAAACGTAATCATTCTTAAAAAACGATTTAAGTTAAAGGAGAAATATTGATTTTATTTTTGGTTTGTCCATCAGTGTGGAGTTCTGCAGCTCTGAGCTCCGACAGCTGTCACTGGCTGACCTTCCTGTCAATCAAACTCCATCAGAAAAGGGCAGCAGAATGTCAGCCCCGCCCACTTCTCACCAGCCTCCATAGTATTCAACACACACACACACACACACACACACACACACTCATTGATACAACAAATTATTGATCGTAACTGAAGCAGGAAACAGGCTGGTTCAAATAATCAATAATAGTTTGAAACGGTTTCAAAGTGTCAAAATGTCTGGACGACACATCACTGCTCCCTGTCCATACTGCATCCGTTAAATATTTAATTCTCTGCTCTGTGAATTTAAGTTTCCCCGTGCAATCAGTCTGATATCCAGTGCTTTTATTTTGAAGGTAAACAAACGGATGTGAGGTGCTTTGTATTGACGAGCCGCTGACTGAAATCACAACGCTCTGAGGCCCGTCAATGAACGTCTCGCTGTGAGCCGAAAAAAGTGTTGAAGCCCAACGTTCCTATCACAGATGTGGATATTATTAATGCACCACTATCTCCACTATCTCCACTTTGTCCACTTTGTCCTGTCCACTGCCCACTGGCCCACTTTGAGCAACAGAGAGGAAAACAGAAACGGGGCGACGGGGTAAACACAGTGCGCCGATGTCGCTCTGCGTCACTTGTGAGCAGTTAGGACAGTCCAATAGGAAACAACAGAATCAGGCTCATTTTGTCGCTGACGCTCATTTGCTTGTGTTACATACATATATACATCCTAAGTCATATTCTTTAACTTTCTTATATCCAACTCTAATTTTCCACATGAACGGTTAAGACAGATCGCTTCATCTTTTTCTCTCTGTGCATAAAACAATAAAAAGTCTGAACTCTTCTAACGAGAGGAATCAGGAATCAGGCTGCAAATAAAACGTATCCAATGTATCCATTCAGCTTTCTGCGCTCACGGTTCAGACTGATACAAAAAAAAAAAGACACTGGTGCTCAGAGTAAAATGCGATGTGGACACGGGGCCTAAACGCCTTTTTTCAAACACCTGAATTCTATAGAAGTGAAATGTGGATCTCGCTGTAATCATGATTCTACAATCATCAGATATCCAGACCTTTTAAGCTCCTGTAACAGTTTCTCTGTTTGAGATTGAGAGTGATGCTGTCCATTAAACCTCTTTACAGAGTGTCCTTGAACGCACCACAAAGGAATCCTTTAATTATAGCTCATGACCACAAGATAAAGACCAAAACAAAATGTCTTAAGAAGCTGAGGATTTGTTTGCCTGCAGCAGCTTCTGTCGTGTACTTTTACCTCTCGAGCGCCGACCTCCTCTTCTCCACAAAGTCGTTGGACGACTGGTCCTCCTTCCCCACCTTCACCTTGGTCATCCCTGCAGGGCGAGGAGACGCTCGTTAACAGAAGCGGAGACAGGCGTAATGACAATCAACATAACAAACAGCGTCTCTCAACACCGACAGCTCGCTGAGTAAACTCTGAGTCCTGTTCAAATATGTTTTTGTCTTTTCCTTTGTTTGAGTGTTTACTGATGTTTGTTTCATAAACACTGCTGGAAGAGTTCCACTTCTTTATGAAAGTTTAAATACTTTGTTTCAAGTTAAAGCAAAGGAAGTACCATCGATCAGATCGAAGTTTTGTTAAATAAAAAGCATTTTGTACGTCAGATGATTCATCAAAACTGTAAAAGAGATCGAACTCAACGGAGAGAAATAAACTTTATGTAGGAATATAAAACCCTCGAGACACAGAACTAGTTCTATATT